AGATCGTTTTTTTTTGCGGGAGAAATAGCATTGCATTACTCAATCACAATGTCCTTACAATCAAGAGATGCTATTTCCACTACTTCATTTGGACCCGATCCTAACCAAGTCAAGGTCCTGCCTTGGGTTCTAGCAAACTTAGCTAAGAAATCGCTAGCTTTATTTTGAGATCTAACTATATGAGAAATACAAGTCTTTCTTAAACCCATTAAGTGCTTAATCTCTCTCACAATAGAGGAATAAACTGAACGATCTGGCTCCAAGCTTGATATGAGAGAAACTGCTTCGAGAGAGTCCATCTCCACCATGACCGGCAAATCACTTCGCTGCAAGGCAAGTGACAAGCCTTCCATGCACGCGCATAACTCCGCCTCAAGGGAGTCTCTGCACGAAAACAACACCCTGCATGACGAGAAGTTAATAGCTCCTTGATAATCCCGTAAGATCATCCCCGCACCAGCCTGTTTTGACGCAACAAAAGATCCATCAGTATTCAGTTTACACCACCCTGGCTCCGGCGTGTTCCAACTCCGTTCGTCCTGCAGATCAGCGCTTCCCCCCCTTCTTGTTGTATCCTTCCATACAATGTAAGATTTGCCTTTAGCTAGGTCAGCATGTGGATTCTGCTTAGCACCAACCAAGGCCACCAGGTAGCTTTGAAGAAAGTTTAGAGAGACCTCCATAGGAGGGGCAGGCTTATTATGAACAAGTTCGTTTCGAACAAACCAACTCCTCAAAAAAATCAGTAGTATCATTGTTCGTTCCAGGTCGATAAGAGGATCCAGGACGTGTAGCAGCCACTCTTTCCCGTTATTCAGTATTGAAGTGATATCTGGGAGCTTCCAAACCTTGGCCATGGCCAAAAACAGATCACGCCCAAGCTGGCAGCGCACGAACGGATGGTAGTTATCCTCCTCCTCTACTCCACATACCGGACAAACACCCGTGGTTTCCAATCCAATATGATGTTTCCTCTGCCATGTGGGTAGCGCATCATTCGACAAGCGCCAAGCAAAGTGCTTCATCGTTGGGGTGGCGTAACACTTCCAAATGAAATCCCAACAAGCACGACTTCCCGACGGTGCTGAGCTTGACGCCACAGCCGAGCTACGATGAACCTCATCAAAAGCCAATTCATAAGCTGATTTAACTGTAAAGATACCATGTCTGCCGGGGCCCCAGGCAATCACATCTCCCGCCATCCTGGGTGATGCACGAATCTTCATTATTTCATGTACATCTGCAGCCACAAAATATTGCCGAAGGAGCTCGACATTCCAAGACCCATTGGTTTTTAATAGACCAGAAACAAACCTAATACGGCAGCGCCCTTGGGGGAAGTAGATCGTTGATGCCAAGCTTTGCAGCGTCCATCTATTTTTACAAGAGAGTAATATGATTTTTCATATATCTGTGCATAAACAAAGTGTTGAATGATGGATATAGTTTTTTTTTTGCTAAAATTTAGATGGTGTGAAGAGCATTGCACTACTCATTCTAACATATTGTACATCAACTGAATAGTATATAGTGCATAGCAACACTAACCTCGATCCCTCAATAAAAAGTAGCAACACCTGTATGCCATGCCATATAAAAATGTAGCAATATGTGTAAACCTGGTGAAAAAAATCATACAACTTTAGTTTGCAAGCTATACATGAACTCTAGCATGTACACTGACCGAGCCTAGCTAGCTAAGGAGTAATAAGTTGTGCGTAAGCATGGAATTACATAATTATACGGCATTGTATATTGTTCTGAATATACATCAACTCTAGCATAAAGTATATGGACTAACACTAGGTAACTAAGGAATAATAAGTTACGCGTAAGCATGGAGTCATATAACTATTTGGCATTGTGTAGTGTTCTGAAAGAACCACAAGAAAGATCTTGATTGCCTCGTTCAATCCATTTGTCAAATAAAAAGAGAGAAATGTGTCTGAATATTTTGAAGCATTAAACACTAGAGATAAAAAATTATAGCAGATTATAAACTAATGGTTCTACTCACAAAATAAAATAAAAAATAAAAAAAATAAAAAGAGAAACATAGATGCTTCAAAACACGTAAAGTGTAACATTGCTGGAAGCACGAGACCAAAGACTACCTTTAAACTTGAGTTTACAACAAAGATTAAATATGAGAACTAAAATGAAAACATAAGGTGGAAAATAACAAGTACGTACTTTGTTTATTGGTACCTGATTATAGATGTGGTCTCTATTATGATGGGCAAGACTTCCATGAAAGACAAAAAGCACATCCAAGTACTAACATCTTGGATAATATAAGGCCTAGTATTGACTGCTGGACAACATGAATCATTCCATGGTTGAGTGCATATATCGATAATCCTCTTGCTCTTTTCGAGTAACATTCAGAAGTCCCCTCAATTGCATTTGCAAAAGATCACACCTTTCCTCATATGCTGAAGTCAATGTTGGAATTGGGAAGCTATGATGACATGGAATCAATACACTACTTGTTGGACCAGTGTAGCATGCAATAAGCCTACACAAAAAAAAAGGCAGCATTCGTTAGAACGTATATAAGCTAACTCAAACAATTTTAGGCATAGCCAATTGAAAATCCAAGTCAAATCACTCGCACTTACACATCTGCATATACCAATCTTTCGCCCCAAGAGTGCCATACCAGATAAGCTAAAAATGAAAATAAAACCAATCCTTGCTACGAAGCAATCAACCAGAGGTATGGAAGGCACATGTGTTATTCTTGCACTTGTAACTAAACGTGACAAAAATGCACAACAAAAAATGAAGACCTATTATATAAAAGAGTTAAAATTACCACCAAATATGAATGACCAAAAATAAAAGAGAAAAGGGTAAATCATACTGCAAGAACCCTCATGAATGCTACACATTAATTTATAGGGGTGATCAATGTGGTTTTGGGCCAGAAAGCACAGCAAGCAGGAGCACATTAATCCTGACATGAAGATGCTGATGTACATGATCCACTTTCTTCGAGACTGCATCTTCCTGGGTGGAGGAGCCATGGCAGCCCCATCTCCTCCTTCCCCACCTTGATCCCTAGTTCATCTCTCCCCGTCATCTGCGCGAATTCAAATCAAGAACTACCACCGATGAAGGGGACACTTGAGAGGGTGCCAAGGTGGAGGAGGGAGTGGTTGACCTAGTGGTGTTGGCAAAAAAGGGGGGCTAGAGAGGAGCAGATGACAGTTGTCACCTGATTTGGATAGGATTCGCTGCAGTAGCGGATCCCCCTTTGCCTATGACGAATCCCCTCGAGCGGCGGATCCCCTCGCGCGCCTCGCCTCCCTCCCGCGTCGGATCCCCTCGCACGCCTCACCTTCCTCCTGTTTTGGTTCCCCTCGCGCTCCTCACCTCCCTCCTGCGCCGGATCGATCCCCACCTACGCATCAGCTAGATCGACGTAGACCGCACGCGCCGTCGCATCCTCTTTGTATCGAGTGCCTCGCTTAGATCCCTCGAGTGAACAATTTTTCTTATGAATGTAGCGAGCCAACGCTAGAACATTTGACATAAATGGGCTTGCATGGCATCCAAATAAAGCCCAGTCAACCACAAGTCTTGAAAAAAGTCATGAGAATAGTGACCCATTAGGACAGGTGGGCTAAGTTGCAGTAAACTAGAGCTGAAACAAATATCTGACAGAAAGAACGATCTAAATGCGAAATTCGACGACCGAAATCACTCGTGGTGTGAGAGAGCTTGGTAGTGTAGTATTTTTTTTCTTGGATATCTTGGAAAAAATCTAAGTATCACACATACGCATTATTGTCTTATGGTGATGAAGCACAATGGACATTTTATCCTCAAGACAGGGGTTGCATGCATACACCAACATGTCCAGTGTCTCAATAAAAGGATTCAAAACAAAATCTCACACGTTTCGACAAAAATCGTCGCTATAAGTTGGTAGGTTATAGCATCATGCTTGGCTTACTATATTAGCATCAAATAGTTATCACGGCAATAATGAATATATCTACCTCGTAAGACTATAACAAGTTAATTACTAACGAAAAAGTTGTCGAAGCATGTCAACATCGGATCTAGTTTTGAAAATCTTGCCGCAAAACCTAACGGGTGAAAACAGATTGCCAATCAGATTGACAGATCGAGAGAGAAACTAATTTCAGGAACAAGAACAATACAAGTGATGCCATAATGTTTCTCACATTGGTGTTTTTGTTGCATGCATGTGTGAGATAGGATATTGTGCCACATGATAGACTTAGGTTGCGATAGTACGGTCCTTCTGTGTGGAAAATACCAATAAAGGCGTCATATGGATAAAAAACCTTTTTATTCGGTGGCAAAATGAAGTATCTCATTCATATTTCAATTATCACGAAAAAATCTCTCTCTAACCTAACCAAAAAATTGTAAAAGAAATTGAAGTCATCTCTCCGCAGTAAAAACTCTCTCCAACCTCTTTTGTTGGGCTAGAAACACATCTCCTTTAACTAATTTGGTAATTCGATTAAAACAAAAAATAGTTTCGCAAAAAAAATTAGATATTGGATAAAACAGAACGCACATGCATTTTATTTTGCTTGATTCCATGTACACTTTTTCCCACCGTAACACTACCTTGCCAAGTGAAGTGGGCAATGGCGTACATCGCTTCCGAAATATTATCATTTGACCATATGAATATAGCAATGCCAGTTTATGAATAATGTCATTCAAGATATTTGCTGACTTCGAAAAGGAGATGAAAGAGAAACCCACGAAGATTAAAGGGTAAAATACAAGGGTGACACTAAGTAAGGCTCCGGCAGAATTTTTTCTAAGGAATACAACAATCTCAAATGTTATTCACTGATGGTCTTTGTGAACTCCCTGGCGGGTTTCATTCAGAAGCCGCTGATGATCCTAAACTACCGCAAGAGATGCTACTGTAGCACAAATGTGCAGGCCAGACTGCTACTGTAGCACAAATGTTGTAGATAAACCATGCTCGACGGTTCATGGATCAGTTAGCTGTCCATGGTCGGGTAGTAGGCGTAGGTGGCGACGCCGCAGTTGGCGCCGTTCCCGCGCGCGAGGCGCATGTAGCCCTCCTCGCCCCATCCCGTCCCCCACTGGTTCTTCACCACCCAGTACTCCTGTCCGCTGCCGTCCGCCCCGTAGCCCACTACCGTCACGGCGTGGTTCAGCCTCTGCCCGCACGACGAGCTGCCGAAGTACACGCCGCTCATGTAGTGCCGGAAGTCAGGGTCCGTGGCCTCCACGCCCACGGCCACGGGCTGGCTGGCCGCGAGCTCCTGCAACGCGCCCTCGTCGCCGTACAGGGCCGCCCACCGGGGCACGCCGACGGAGGCGGCCGAGTTTGGCATGACGCCGCCGCTGCGGCACGCGCCCTGCTCGCCGCTGTATGCGTAGGCTGCCTCCGGCTGCAGGCCGCCGCTCGCGGCGACGTAGCGCAGCGCGGCGTTGATGTCGCCGGCGTTGCAGGTGTTGGCGCCGCCGGTGCAGTCGAGCACCTGCTGCTCCGACATGGAGATGAGGTCGCCGGTGGCGATCTTCACGAGCCCCTCCGTCGCCGCCACCGCCGCGAACGCCCAGCAACTCCCTGTACACACGCAACGTGCGCGTAAAACATCTGCTTCGTATTTGTATTCACATGCGAACTTTGGCGTATGGACTATGGACTATGGTATGCATGACATGCATGAATGCATGCAGAGTTTTACCGCAGGAGAGTTGGTTCTTGACTTGGGTGACGGCACCCTGGGCCCTCCAGTCCATGCTGTCCGGCGTGTCCTGGAAATGGCCAGCGGCAGCCTTGGACATGTTCACCGCTGCCGCCGGCGCGTCGTCCGCGGGACGAAGCCCGCCGTGCTGGTGACGGTAGCCGAGGTGCGTCTCCAGGAACTCGTCGTCGGTGAGGTCGGAGAACTGGTTGAGCCCGAGCGTGTACGTCCGGTCGCCCGCCCGGTTGACAGCGTCGACGTGCCGCGCGTTGGCCGCGAACACCTCCTGCCGCCGCAGCTTCTCTTCAGCGTCCGCGTACGCTCGCGCGAACTCGGCCATCCACCGCTCGTGCCTGGCGGCCACGGTGGGCACCCCTCGCGCCGCGGCGACGTCGGCGACGACAGCGGCGGCCACGAGCGCGAGCGCGAGCAGTGCGCCGTTGAGGCGGGGCGAGCTGTGAACCGGCGCCATTAGTGAGCTTGCTTATGCTCAGGTCTTGTTGCAATGGGTTCGGGAGCGAGCTGAGCACGTCGCAAGCATGCCGCCCGCGATTCTATTTGTATGCGCGCGAACGGCAGGTAAGATGGGGCAACCAACCGGGCGAGCGGATTCCATATTTTTCGTCGCCGATCACGGCCGCCGCGCGCATTCAGCAGCACCATTACTGTAGATGGAATTGATGCAGAGGCCTAAAAGAAATACTAGTACTGTAGATGAAGTGCGTTCAAGCGCCGTAGTCCAACGTATTGATAGCGATCCATGACTCCATGGATGTTCCTATCCGGCGGCTGATCTCTTCTCTCCGTATATTCTTGAATTCTTCTTCTTCTTCTTCTTTTTCTTCTTCCAGCAACTTGTGCGGCACACGGCAGAGTGCTCTGCCCACTCACTATGATGGACGCACAGAGCTGGAGATGGAGAAGTTGCCTCGTAGGTCGTAGCGTACAACTCGAGGAAAAAATCTCACTGCCTAATTTCGTAGAATGAAGTACACGGTACTGTTTAGCTAGATGGTACCCTGCGCGATTGATTTGAGAATTAGTTGCAATATACTAGTGAGATTTTATTGAATATTAGATTAATAACACAAGAATTGAACCTCAAAATACATATGATTATCTTATATAATTCTAAATATGTTTTTTTATTTATTGATCATCTTGACTCTCTATCAGGATTGAGCCCCCGCGGCGTCCTCCTCACTGGCGACTCGTGCGGTGGCTCTCACCCCTCCCTTGGCTTACCCTTCGCTCTGCCATCGCCCAATGCATTTTGTCGGGATAACTAAGCCCATGTAGATCCAACGGCTACAGGGGGCTGCGTTTGGGCGATCTGTCCTTGAGCGGGAGGATCGGCCGGTGGGCGATTGACGCGTTGCTCCTCCATACATGTTGTTGGTTCCCATTGACGGATGGAGGGCGGTTGTCTCGGTGTCTAGGGGCGTAGATGTCCGTGCGTCAACCTTGCTGCTCGATGAGAGGATCAGCGAGATCGGCGATGTGTGGTTGAGCATGTGGGCGGCATGCTGGCGCGGGGCGTCATCGTCCTGGGGGTGCATCCACCAGACGAGATCACAAGCTGACGAGCGCCCCAGGGGTAGGAGGACTTAGGGCATGTAAAAAGAATAAATGATCTCTTGCACATCATGAGTACATTGCAATAGAATGGTACCATACCTCCATATATATACTCCCTCCGTTCCTAAATATAAATCTGTCTAGAGATTGCAACAAGTGACTACATACAGAGTAAAATGGAGTGAATTGCAGAAGACTACCACATTTAGGGTTAGCTTTGCGGAAAACTACCTAGTCCCTAATTATTTGCAAAACGCACCGCAAATTCAGTAAACTTGTTGCAAATAGCACTGATGAGGTGATCTGGCCCGTTTGATCACTTTCTAACAAGTGGGGTTAGATTGTAAGAAGTTGACTTGGCAAAGTTTTGACATACAAGCCCCTGGATCTAAAAAGAAAAAGCAATCAGAGCCCCCTTGCTTCGACCCCGTCTGGATCGGGAGAGCCAGAGCCCCCGAGCTACCCACCCCCCGCGCCACTCCGACGACCTCGTCGCCGGCGACCACCGCTGCCCTGTCTACCATCTCCTTCCTCCTTCCTTTTCTTTTCTTCTCCACCGCTTCCTCGTCTACCATCAGCAACGGCCGGAAAGGCGAGAGGTGAGGCCGCGTTGGCCGGGATTGACGACGCGGGTTGCCATGGATGTGGATCTCGCCGTTGCACGCACGGACCCGTGACGCGCGCAGAGAGAGGAGAGGAGGGGGCGTTCCCCGGCGAGGCCGACCTCGTCGACGCAGACGGCCGCGCAGTGGAGGAGGTCCCTGCGAAGAGCTCCTCGACAGTGCCGGTCGGGTCGGGCCCGTGCGCCGCCGCGCGGTTGGAGCCGGGCGGTTGCTTGGCCATGGCCTCGACCGTGCTTGGAGAGCAACAGGGGATACAGGCCGCCGCGGATTCCGACGCCGTCGACATGGCCGTGGCTGCCAGCGGCTGGGCTAGGTAGGGGGACGTGCGGGTCGTCCCAGAGGAGAAGGAAAGAAAAATGGGAGGAGGATGGCGGGGCAGCGGTGGTCGCCGGCGTGCTTGTCGGCTGCGACGAGGTCGCTGGCCCTCCGCCCAGCGCGTCGCTCCAGCGTCGCCGGCCAAGCAGCGCGGCGGAGGCCATGAACCCGACGCCCAGCGCGCCTCTGCCCGAGGGGTGGGGGCTGATTGCTTTTCTGTTTTAAATCAAGGGGTGTGGGTGTAAATTTTTTGCTCTTACAATCTGACCCCACTTGTCAGAAAGTGATCAAACGGGCCAGATCACCTCATCAGTGCTATTTGCAACAAGTTACCGAATCCGCGGTGCGTTTTGCAAATAATTAGAGACTAGGTAGTTTTCCACAAAGCTAACCCCAAATGTGGTGGTTTTCTGCAATTCACTCAGTAAAATGAGTGAATCTACATTTTAAAATATGTCTATATACATCTATATGTTGTAGTCCATTTGAAATGTCTAAAAAAAACTTATATTTAGAAACGGAGGAAGTACATGAGAACATTCCAACTGTATTAATTACAAGGCAAATAATTACATCATACTAGCAATCAACAAGACTCCAAAAAGAAACTACACATCGCACCTCTAAGCTAGTTTCTTGATTTTTGTAGATGTTTGAAGGAGACCAGCCGCCTACTTATTTTGTTTCTACCACCACTGACAAGTGATAGAGATTTCGCCGCAGAAAATAAGATTAAAAATACCAAAGGGAAAACAAATATAGGAGTAATAATTAAATTTGAACATGCATGCATAAAACAGCCGGCGGCTTTCACTCTTTTAGCCCATCAACAATGCCAATACTGCTCCCGCCGTCGCAGCCGCGGTCGCCCATCGCCCGTATACCGCTGGCGCGGCATCACCCTTATCAGTGGTGGCATCATCGGAATCTTCGTCGTCAGACGAGTCGTCGTCGTCGCCAGCCTCCTTCTTGCCCTTCTTTGACGGGGCGGGCGTTGGCGCCTGGGCGACCTTGAACAGCTCCTTTGGCTTCAAGAACTTGGAGACGGCGTAGACGGCGAGCGGCTCGCTGTCGCCGACGGTGGCGGTGACGGTGGAGGTGACGACCTTGGTGACGAGGGTGACCTTCTCGTCGTCGTTCTGCACGTCGTAGCTGTAGTCTTTCTTGACCTCGCTGGTGGTGGCGAGCGTGGAGACCATGCCGTTGTTGGACTTGAGCAGCTGCAGCGAGAAGTAGTCCGGCACGCCGTGGTAGAGCAGGATGGCCGTCTTGGCCTTGGCCGTGAGGTTCTTGTACTTGGGCATGAAGGCGGCCACGGCGGCGTCGACGGGGCAGAAGAGCGTGAGGCCGTTGTCTTTGGTCTCGTTGAGCGTGCGGAACACGTCGGCGTTGCCGGAGATGAGCCCGGCGAACGACTTGCAGTGCTTCTTGGAGAGGAGCTCGATGAGGTCGACGGGCGCCGGCGGCGGGACGGGCGCCTCGGCCTCGGAGGAGGAGAGCACGGAGTTGATCTCGAGCACCGAGATGTCGTAGGGGATCTCCTTGATGGACTTGACGTAGCGGGACGGCTTGACGGTGTCGTCGGCGTCCTGGCTGACGAACTCCACCTTGCCGCCCTTGTGGGACGTGATGTTCACGTAGCCCGACATGCCCGACGCCGTCCCGGTGGACTGAGCTCATTTCAAAGCATGGAGCGTGTTAGCAAATCAAAATTATACATTTCGCGACACTTTTGTTTACATGTAATCTTTATTTTTTTAGGGGATGTAATCTATTTATTTAATGAGTATACTCTTGTTTAATCTAGCCAATTAGTAATGAGGATAAATCATACTATGTGTACATGATTGGACAATGTAGGCCCAGAAGTCAATCAATCCTGTAGGTATGGAAGATAGGAAATGAGTATACACGCTAGAGG